CATAGTCGGCATCCTCAGTGAGCCTTGCCATTCTTCGCAACTAAGCTACAACTCGTCAAAGAGACAAATGAAGTCAACCCCTTGACCAACGTTCTGTCGAAACGGTTATGCTATCACTCCTGGTTTTATCCTGGTCCCTCTATCCATTTCCTACCTTCTAGTCTTGCCCTCGTGCATTTCTCTAGGTCTTCCTGCTAATATGACCAAGTTGCGAAGCCACGGTCAAACAATTCATATACAAAGAAAAGAGGCCTCGACTATACAAAAGGCCACACCATCCTGGTCTCCATATCTTAGATTAAAATGAAAGGTACTCCAACATAATGAAACAGTCTTTCAGAATGTATAGACCTTTTTAACATTAGAATCCTTCTTTGAAAGTGATCTCATATTTTTTCTTACTTGGCCTGTCGCCTCACTGGCCGCACTCTTATCAGGTACTGCACATGGTGCGCAACTCCCATTTAGTGGGACAAGCGCTCATAGGCTACTTAGAGCAAAAGGGCTATCCAGAAGTGGCGCTTCACTTTGTGCGCGATACTCGTACTCGCTTCAGTTTGGCCATGGACTGCGGCCAACTTGAGGTTGGTGTGGAGGCCGCAAGAGCCTTGGATGACCCGGCATGCTGGCAACGTTTAGGTGAACTAGCTTTGCATCAGGGCAATCACCAGATTGTCGAGATGGCCTATCAACGCACCAAGAATTTCGATCGACTTAGTTTTCTTTATCTTATCACCGGGAGCACTGAGAAGCTAAGAAAGATGATGAAAATAGGTAAGTCATTATTTAAGTATGCTTTTACTTTTATTTGAGCTCAATTTCATTAATCTTCCTACACAACTTTTATTTTAAACGTATTTTCTTATCTATACCTATATATATATATATATATATATCTTACTTTAAATATGAATTAGGCGAGGCCTGGCTTGCCTCGAAATTCACATCTGTCTTGTAGCTCACTGGCATCCGTGGCTGATGGAATATATATTCTTTTAGAACTCTTTTGGGGATTGGTTCGACCTTGTTTTCGCAACTCAGTCGGAGCGCCAAGGAGACCTTGTTGAATATACCTAGTCCCGTGTCCTCTGCATTAATATTCGTGATTTCCAGCATTGTACCACTGGCTGGGTACATTCCCTAACATTTCGCCGGCATCGTCAGTGAGAGGCGTGATTGTAAGCACAGTTATAACTTATCAGAGTGACAAGTGAAGGCAATCCCCTTGACCAATTTTCAGTTCAACTTTTGTAGCATCACTCCTTGCCCCTACTCTTGGGATTTAACGAAGCTAGGAAGTGATTACACTTAGGCTAAGCATGACTTTTAACTAACTCAAAGCGAAATTCATATAGTACTTAATCCTTTATATTTTCATTATTTACTATTATAACTTTGTAAGCATCAGAAGTGATTTTATGAAGCTTCCCGGTATGCTGGATTCTTGGTCAACATTCGAGCGTTACGATGAAGACTAAATATAAAATTAACAGCTTAAATGAGTGTTAAATAAAGACTTCTAACTTACATAAATTAGATTTATATGTTCTCTCGGACTACCTTCAAATGTTGAACACTTTTAGATGTCAAAATATCAATTACTTGTAATAAATGAAAAGATAAAGGATTGAGTACTATATGAATTTCGCTTTGGGTTTGGTGAACGTCATGCTTAGCTTTGGTGTAATCACTTCTTAGCTTCGTTAAATCCCTCATTTAAGTGTAAAACAATCTAATTTCAGAGAATCAGAGTTTAAAACCAGACACGAGTCTTCATAATTAATTAAAGATTTTGGAACTGGTCGAAATTCATCTTTTTTCCTAATTTAGCCAACAGCCTATCGAAAATTACCACTTAAATTAGTGTTAAATTAACATTTATATCTTACCTAAATTAAATGTATATGTTCTCTCGGACTACTTCCAAATGTTGAGCACTTTTAGATGCCAAAGTATCAATTACTTGTACGACTCAGATAATCGATCACTTAAGATATGACTATTTATTGGCAAAATTAAACCAATATCCAGTATATAACAGTCCGAATAACTCAGAACTTCATCAGATAACGATGTATTAAATAGACTTTTAAGGGGATAATGAAAATTATTTCCTCTTTCAATCTCCATTTTTAACAAGGCCATTTATCTTGACCCTGGTTTTAGCCTTCATACAAAAGAAGACTTTATTGTCACCGAATGTGTATGCTTGATCAGTAAAAAGTTACAATCATAACCAAATTGCGGAAGTAATCTAACGAAACAGACAGTAGTTGTGTTCTGAAGAAAAACTGGGTTTTAAAGAATTCTTTAGTGAAATATTGTGGCGTGACTCTAAATTTCAGGGGGGAATTTAGTTGGTTCTTCATATCTTCTAAAAGGGTACGATTTTCATTATTTTTAGAATTCGTCGTTATATACAGAAACTAAGAAATCGTTGGCCAGACAAGTCAATCACATTTGCTTCTTGAAAGTTTGATCTTTTCGCAGAATTATACCGATATTTTGTATTATTTATGGACCTAATTTATCTTGTAAAACTAAGACCGACCTTTTGGACGTATGCCATGATTTGGTTGATAATAGACTATAGGAAA